CAGCCGGTAATCCAAACGGAGGAGAAACAGTCTCCTGCAGAGAAAAGCGGAAGATCGGGCTACTTCCGGTGGAGCGGAGTGCGCCGCTCATAGGGGTCCCCTAACCGGAAGCACCGAGCCGGCACTTTAAGGGTTCCGCCCTTCTCCACGCTCCCTCTTCTCTCAACTTTAAAAAATAAAGTGCCGGATTTACGTATAAGCTGAACAACCTATAGTTTAGGACCCCACTCTCTTGAGACCCCCCAAAAAATTTAAAGGGGAAAAAACCTTAATAATTATTTCACTATTATTTCTTAATTGTATTTCACTATTAATATACTTCTTCTTAATTGTATTTCAGTTCAACAATTACTTTGATCAAATAGATATTTTGTTAGGTGCAAATGGCTTTAGATAACTATTAGGTCCATATAGCATATATTCAACACAAAAAACCACGACAATTTGTTGTTGCCAAAGGACAGCTGGATGTATAAAAGGCCCCATTACCTTCCAGTGGCTTAGGGCCTCATCAAACCTAAATCCGGCCCTGGATAAATAAATAAACAAAGAAAGAAAGCTTGGGAATCACATTTCCTGGCCATATAAAATAAGCATATTTGTCTCTTTCGGCTCCTGGGAGACTGAGTAGCTGCCACTATTCTGCACAATGAATACTCAGCAATAATATCCCTGTATGAAAGTGAAAAGGGACACGGGGGGGGGGGCGCTGTGGGTAAAACCTCAGTGCCTAGGACTTGCTGATTGCAAGGTCGGCGGTTCGAATCCCCGTGACAGGGTGAGCTCCCGTCTTTCGGTCCCAGCTCCTGCCCACCTAGGAGTTCGAAAGCACCCCCGGGTGCAAGTAGATAAATAGGTGCCGCTTTATAGCGGGAAGGTAAACGGCGTTCCGTGTGCTGCGCTGGCTCGCCAGATGCAGCTTGTCACGCTGGCCACGTGACCCGGAAGTGTCTCCGGACAGTGCTGGCCCTCGGCTTCTTAAGTGAGATGGGCGCACAACCCTAGAGTCGAACACGACTGGCCCGCACGGGCAGGGGTACCTTTACCTTTATGAAAGTGAGTGGTTTACTCACAATTTTTTCTCCTTCGGGCCACCAGTTGGTGGTTTGGGGGCAGGGCCACTTTCATTATTTTTCTGCCTCTCGTGGCAATGGCAACATGCTGCATAGTTTTCAATCGTAGTGTATTTGTGTTACTGCTTTTATTGTATTTCCTGTTTGCGCTCCACAGAGTTCAGATTGCAAGAAATAAATGACGCTCTAAAAATACAATTAAAAACCAAACTGTGTGTTTAATGCAGACATGTGGCACACCACCTGAATGAAGCCCCTGGTAGTCCACAGGCCACAGTTGGGAATTAATATATTGCAAGGGCTCCCAAAATCCGTTCTCTTGAGTATCCTTATGTAGCCATTATCAAGAGAGACATATATGCCAACAGGCTTAGAGGAATCACAAGATTTGCAGAAGTATAAGTTTATACAAAATGTAATAGGCTATTAGCATTTATATAAGCACTAGGACAATAACACTATACCAATTTATACAAGAATGTATGGGAATATCATATATTGCTTTTTTTGCATATTTTTGCTTTTATACATGTCTTTGTTGTTGGTTTTCCTCTCTCACACTTTTCCTTCTTTTTTCCTGTATCTATTTATTTTAACTGAAATCATCTTAATAAAACATATTTAAAATATTACATTAAAAGAAAAAGATTTGCAGAAGTATTAAAGAAATAAACTCAACCCGCCACTGCCAATAGCCCAATCAGGAATGATTACGCTCTAATGGCTACAGAGGGTTAGTATCTAAGGGCAGGAATTCATTGATGGGTGAATGCCCCCCCACCCATTTTGTAAGTTCATTAGTATCAATTAATGGATGGTGGTGGAAATGAATATCTGGCAAGTGTGGCAGTTTCAACATTTCAGCTTTGTTTACTAAATACTAGTACAGTAGAAATATTAGATCACTCTCTAAGGCAGATGATGCTGAACTAAAGGTAAAGTGACCCCTGACCATTAGGTCCAGCCGTGACCGACTCTGGGGTTGTGGCGCTCATCTTGCTTTATTTGCCAAGGGAGCCGGCGTACAGCTTCCAGGTCATGTGCCAGTACGACTAAGTCGCTTCTGGCAAACCAGAGCAGCACACGGAAACACCGTTTACCTTCCCGCCAGAGTGGTACCTATTTATGTACTTGCACTTTGACGTGCTTTCAAACTGCTAGGTTGGCAGGAGCAGGGACCGAGCAACGGAAGCTTACCCCATCGCGGGGATTCGAACCGTCGACCTTCTGATCAGCAAGTCCTAGGCTCTGCGGTTTAACCCACCCGCGTACATCCAGCCTAATGCTTTCCTTCATCACAAGTCTCAATCATGTATGCGAACCTATGCCAATAATAGTCAAAATATTTATTGAATGAAAAAGGAGCTGGGGGATGTGCACCCTCCCTCCAATACATTATGGACTACTACAAAGATGCACCCACACACCCAGAAGGGTGTCCTGTATGAGAAGGCATTGACTCACATTGAGCCCAAACTTTCTGTGGCTGCTAGACTCTGTCAAATATGGCACCCTCATGCCGATAAGAGCAAAACATGTTGGAATGAGTCCACTTTTGCCTCTAACTCCACCCACATGTTAGGTTACCCATGAAGGATACCTGGATAGCTTACAATGATTATTATTTTTTTAAAAAAATCAATATAAACATAAAACAAGCTATAAAATCAAAGGCAACATAAATACAGTATGTAAAAATGGAGAGCCATTCTGAGTTTTATAATTGGTTTATTTAACTGGGTTCAAGTTTATACATGACATGGGTTATTTGATTGCCATTTGGGAAGGCCAATGTATCAATTGGTAGATCATCTTGCTTTGCATAGAAGTCTTGGGTTCCATCTCCAGATAGGACTGGGAGTCACTGCCAGTCAGTGTACCTGTGTTTCTCAAACGTGGCTCCCCATCTGTTGTTGGACCACAAGTCCCATCATCCCTGACCACAGGTCCTGCTAATTAGGGATGGTGGGAGCTGTAGTTCAACAACAGCTAGGGACCCACTTTTGAGGAACACTGGTAGACAGCTCTTCTTATGAAGGAATGGGGCCCTAGGCCCAATTCAATTTTTATCCTGCCTTTCTTCATGAAGCAGCCCAGAATATGCTGTGCCACTTGTAGCGGAGACCACCTAACAAAATACCATGAATGCCAAACTTCGGTGGTTAAATATGCGTAACTGAATGTTAACCCTTCTGTAGTTTATGGTTTGCCCCTTAACTTCCAAAAGTTAAGTTGCCGATCAGAAGGTCGGCGGTTCGAATCCCCGCGACGGGGTGAGCTCCCGTTGCTCTGTCCCTGCTTCTGCCAACCTAGCAGTTCGAAAGCACGTCAAAGTGCAAGTAGATAAATAGGTACCGTTCTGGTGGGAAGGTAAAAGGCGTTTCCGTGCGCTGCTCTGGCTCGCCAGAAGTGGCTTAGTCATGCTGGCCACATGACCTGGAAACTGTACGCCAGCTCCCTCGGCCAATAAAGTGAGATGAGCACCACAACCCCAGAGTCGGTCACGACTGGACCTAATGGTCAGGGGTCCCTTTACCTTTACCTATACACTTGTCACAAGTCTTGAGAGTCAGCTGACTGAGAGCCAGCCTGTGTCTAAACCACAACCAATCCTCCTTGTGTATGGGCAAGACTGGCTGATATGCTCTTTATCCATTCCATGCATTCAGCCAGATCATTGGCAAGCTAACTAATTGGATCTAATAACTGTAGCTACTCACAGAATCGCTTTTATAGAACAAAGATATAATGTCATGCTCTCTGCTTTTTTGGATGGCTGTTATAAAAAAGAAACCCTTGAACTGTATTTTTGTGCAATGTGTGAAACCACCACAAAGGATATTTTTCTTTATATAAAGATCCCTGTCGAAAATATTTGTTAGGAGTTTAGTTGCAAAAACCTAGTCGCACCTAGAGAGTTTGTTTTCATTATCAAACAGCAAAAAAAATGCAGTTACTTTGCTTGTGTTTACCTACACTGATGACCGGAAAATTAAGAGTGTATTTTTGGCTCAAACCTTTAGTTTATTATTATTATTATTGCTCTCTGTTTTATTACAGCTTACAGCTAAACAAATACAGCTATTGCCTACCATGAATGCCTCTTCTAAAATTATTTATGACCAACTTATTCATGTAATCCCAATACTTGTGTGTTTGTGCGATATGGCTTCCTCCCTCCCTTTCAGGCTTGGTTTGTAAAGATGCTTCAGTGATGACCCACAGATGAAATAGATACAGTGGACACTGGTTGTGAACGTGATCTGTGTGGGAGGCACGTTTGCAACCCACAGTGTTTGCAACCTGCAGCACCGCGTCTGTGCATGCGCAGGTTGCGATTCAGCGCTTCTGCACATGCGCAAAGCATAAATTAGTACTCTGCACATGTGCAAGCGCCGAAACCCGGAAGTAACCCATTCCAGTATTTCCGGGTTCGGTGCGGTGCGCAACCCGAAAACCCGCTCCCTGAAGCATCTGTAACCCCTGGTATGACTGTACAAATGACTACCGACTGAAAACAAAGGCTGCATTCAGTTTTTGTTTTAAACAGGCTGTGGCCCGTACAGTTTAATGCTACTACAAGCAGCACAAGAACTTCCACTTTGTTCTTAGATCAATGCAATGTTCATTTATTATTTGTACTTACAAAACCCCTCCCCCAAAAGCCCAGCCCCTCCCTTTTCAGCTACCTCCCCATCCCACCTCCCCCACAAATGCCTTTTACAAATAGTTAAAAATTAAAAACCAGATGACATTAATTTTGGTACAGTTATTCAGCAATATAGCTGTCATAATTAATGGGTTACGTTTCATTACAACCAGGGTGATTTGGGTAAAGGGGGCGGGGAGTTCTGGTTATTGGCCAAATAAAATTTCATATTACAAGTTAGCAAATTCTAGTACAAAAATAGTCCATGTGATAGAACAGCCTGTAATATTATTTTTTTTAATTTTTATTGTTATTCACAGTTAAGAGAGTCTGTTGGCTGCATAATTCCTTAAGTATTTTATGAATTTTTCTTTTTCTTTTATGGGGCTTCTTCTTATATAACCCAAATATAGGACAGAGCCTCAATAAATCCTTAGCAAAGAACCCTAGAATGAGGGTTAATAAGATCTTCAGTTTATCTTCTTGTAATGTGCTTTTCACGGGATATCCAAAACCCAACTGGTTCCCCAGGTAGTCTCTTTGATATTTGTCCCTATGAGATCTAGAATCAAAAGGACCCCTGAAGGACATTCTCCAGAACTTTTCCATGGTGGCCACAGGCCACGGTAGCGATGCTCAAATTCCACATGGGGAGGGGTGGTGGTGCAAAAGCATGCTCTGTTCGTCCCCATTTCCCCCACACATTCCTCTTGTCACCTCCTTTCAAAAAATCATCAGTATTTTGCTCATTAAAACACCTCAGGCCTGGTTCTTCTTCGCATCTCTCCCAGGAGTATTCCGTTCTGACTATGGCCCCTTCCGTTTCCACCTGTTATGAATGCTTTTCTGCCATTGGTTTCTTTTTTCCTTGGGCCAGAGAAAGATCTGCAGAAGAGCTACTTGTCCCTCAAGATATCTAGCTGCTCTTGGTATTCGGTGAATAGCCGTTGCAAACGAAGGTTCTGACCGATGACGGGAAGCAGTTCCTTGAGGAGCTCTCGCTTGCGTAAGCCCTGCATGGGAAAGGAAAATAAATCCTTTAATGTCCATCACACAGCAAATACCAGAGTTTGATTGTGGGATTACAGGAGACTCCCCACTTGTGACTGACATATGTACAACCACGTATGCACACTGGGAAACAACTACCGTATTTTTCGCTCTATAAGACGCACCAGACCATAAGATGCACCTAGTTTTTGGAGGAGGAAAACAAGAAAAAAATATTGTGAATCCCAGAAGCCAGAACAGCAAGAGGGATCGCTGCGCAGCGAAAGCAGCGATCCCTCTTGCTGTTCTGGCTTCTGGGATAGCTGCGCAGCCTGCATTCGCTCCATAAGACGCACACACATTTCCCCTTACTTTTTAAGAGGGAAAAAGTGAGTCTTATAGAGCAAAAAATACGGTACAGTGGTGCCTCGCAAGACGAAATTAATTCGTTCCGCGAGTTTTGTCGTCTTGCGATTTTTTTCGTCTTGCGAAGCACGGTGCCGGGAAAGTTTTGGAAAAGCTTCAAAAACCTCAAAAAGCTTAAAAAAACCTCAAAAAAGGCTACCACACCGCGTTCTATGAGTTGCTCCTCGAAGTCAAGTTGCAACTGTATTAACGGTGTTAAGAAAAAGGAAACAAACTTGCAAGACGTTTCTGTCTTGCGAAGCAAGCCCATAGGGAAAATCGTCTTGCGAAACAGCTAAAAAAAACCACCAAAAACAAACAAACAAACCCTTTCGTCTAGCGAGTTTTTTGTCTTGCGAGGCATTCGTCTTGCGAGGTACCACTGTAATTTAATTCATACCAGGAAATGGAAGAGGAGAGCTGGAGTCCTTGTGGCTTGCGAGGAGATGTTCCACAAAGCCCAAAGAGGACATCAGTAAGGACAGAGAAGAGACTGGACACTCAGTGGGGCTTTGTTTAGGCTGCTAAGCCTCCCCACCTAACATCTAATGTGTGCGGTAGCGCAGCAGCAGCAGCAACAACAACTGTGTGTGCCCTCCAGCCTTCTGCCAGCCCCAGAGCTTCAATTCCAGTTGTAGATATTTTTGGTACAGTGTGTGGGTTTTTAAAATCTGGATTGGAGAGACAGTGGCAGAGAGGGCATTTCAAGGGTGTTTGGAGGGTTCTCTCCCCCGTGTAAGTGGGGAATCACCTGTATATCTACGATAAAAGGTAAAGGACCCCTGACAGTTAAGTCCAGTCGCGAATGACTCTGAGGTTGCAGCACTCCTCTCACTTTACTGGCCGAGGGAGCCGACGTTTGTCCACAGACAGTTTTTCCAGGTCATGTGGCCAGCATGACTGAGCAGCTTCTGGCGAAACCAGAGCAGCGCACAGAAACGCCGTTTACCTTCCCGCCAGAGTGGTACCTATTTATCTACTTGCAGTGGCATGCTTTTGAACTGCTAGGTTGGCAGGAGCTGGGACCGAGCAATGGGATCTCACCCCGTCGCGGGGATTCGAACCGCCGACCTTCCAATCGGCAAGCCCTAGGCTCAGTGGTTTAGACCACAGCGCCACCCGCGTCCCTATAGCTATGATGGGTTTGTGCAAATTGGGGGCTTTCTCTTTCTGCGTCAACTGTCCCAAAGTATGTGGCTACATGGAGGATGTCTTGCATGAAAAACTAGAGGGTCACAGTTGTGCTGGAAAGTGCTTCATATCACTCAGAGACAATAAATTGATGCATAATGTTCCCAAGCAGGCACTGGCTCACATACATGCACAAGGATAATCACACAGGTAGGCAGGTGGGGGAACAGGACCCAACTGCTCATCCCTGGGAGCAGCCAGCAACATGCTTGTTGTTGCCTCCCGACATAAGACAAATCGGGTCCTGCACTGGAGAGGCAGGTGGCTTCCGCTTCCCGGCCTCACCATCAAATTAACTCAGAGCTTTCCTAACTCTTCACGTTGGCGACACGCTTTTTAGACATGCATCGTTTCGCAACACAGTAATTTAGTTTTTACTTTCTTGGGCTCCATGATCACTGCAGATGGTGACAGCAGCCACGAAATTAAAAGACGCCTGCTTCTTGGGAGAAGGGCAATGACAGGCCTAGACAGCATCTTGAGAAGTAGAGACGTCACCTTGCCAACAAAGGTCCGTATAGTTAAAGCCATGGTTTTCCCAGTAGTGATGTATGGAAGTGAGAGCTGGACCATAAAGAAGGCTGATCGCCGAAGAATTGATGCTTTTGAATTATGGTGCTGGAGAAGACTCCTGAGAGTCCCATGGACTGCAAGAAGATCAAACGCATCCATTCTTAAGGAAATCAGCCCTGAGTGCTCAACTGGAAGGACAGATCCTGAAGCTGAGGCTCCAGTACTTTGGCCACCTCATGAGAAGAGAAGACTCCCTGGAGAAGACACTGATGCTGGGAAAGATGGAGGGCACAAGGAGAAGGGGGCAACAGAGGACGAGATGGTTGGATAGTGTTTTCGAGGTTACAAGCATGAGTTTGACCAAACTGCGGGAAGTAGTGGAGGACAGAGGTGCCTGGCGTGCTCTGGTCCATGGGGTCACGAAGAGTCGGACACGACTAAACGACTAAACAACAACAACACTAGCAAACAGGACATTAAACTAACCCCTTTCCAGCCCCAGGAGAAGACGGGAAACGTTTGCGTGACACACCTACACACTGCCACCTACACACTAACGTGTCGCAACACAGAGACTGGAAAGCTGTGAATTAACTGGTTGAAAATAAGGGACTATTAGCCCTCAAAGACAAGTGAGCCATGCCTTGGGTAGCTGGGTTTCCTTCTCTTTCTTCATAGGGAAAAAAACCCTAGAAAATAATAATATACAGTCAAACCTCAGCTCCCAAATGTCTCCGTCTTGGAATGTTTTGGCTCCCAAACGCCGAAAACCCAGAGCTAAATGCTCTGGTTTTTGAATGTTTTTTGGAAGCTGAACATCTGACACGGCTTCCGCTTGGGTGCAGGAAGCTCCTGCAAGCAACTGGAAGCTGCGACTTGGTTGTTGAACATTTCAGAAGCCAAACGGGCTTCCGGAACGGATTACGTTCGACAACCGAGGTTTGACAGTAATCACTAATTATTCTTTATGTGCCCCCATCTGACTGGGTTGCCCTAGACACTGTAGACAGCTTCCAACAAATTAAAACACATTAAAAGCCTCTCCTCAACTAAAGAGATGGCAGTACTGACTATTAATACTTATGCTTTTCCTTGTTTTGTTTATATATATGTATATTTACAAAAATAACATTAATTTGTAGCTCTCAACCAATACAATTCTCAGTGGCAAGAGAAAGGGCACAGATCTGACATCAGGAAGGACGGTATTCACAAGAGTGTAGCAGAAAATTTCAGCCTCCCAGGACACGATGTTGCAGTCCTTAACATGCAGTTTGTGAGCAAAGGAACGCCCAGGTAAATTTACTGAGTTCAATTTTGAGTTCAAGAAGTTCAATTTTGTCGCTTGTGGCCTGAATTGAGATAATGGGTTTTTATTCTACTGCTAGGTAATTTGACTATCCCCAAGTATCGCCATCTATTTTAAAGGCAGATATAACTGTCTCCCTTCAGCAATATTGGAAGGGCATCATCCAAGTGTCCCAGATAAGGGCTGTCTGTGTCCCATTGCAGGCGAAGTAGTTGAAAAGTTGGGTCCTGTTTTCTTTGAAGGTGACATTCATGGAGTGGAATGTAATAGCCTACTTCACCACCTTTTATCAGGAACATCCAGGAAGAACACCAGAATGGTACCTGAAACTTTTATTGGCTAATATTGGAATATGATGCTCTTATTTAGTAGTTTGTAACCCATATGTATATGTTTCACCATGTGCCTTGTACTGTATTTTAAAGAAGTGTGATTTTATTCTTTCTCTGCTCTGTTTTGGGGGGGGATGTGTGTCTGTGACTGTATGATAAATGATTGCTTGTTTGATGAGTGGCTGGACTGTCAGAATGCCAGGACTGTATGTTTTGGACCTTCTCCTTGGTAACTGTGCCGCTTCGCAAAGGAAGAGAGAGAGGCAAGGAATTTGTGTAATCTGTTCTGAAAGGAAGCCACCTTACCACAACAGTTGCTTCCCACTGACTTCCAGCTGAGCTGTGGACTGGACCCAATAAATCCTTGCATAATTCCCGCAATCGATATTCAAACCCTGATAAAAGACAGAAGGTGAAATCATGTTCAGAGGCATCACAATAAATCCTTTGCATAAATCATATAGCAGAACGTAGTGAGGGCAGCCCTTACAAGTTTCCCAGGAGTAAAGTAAATTGCTTGAGTAAGAAATAGGACAGAAACAAGAAGACAGAACTAAGAATTTGTTATAAACTTGGTTTAAAAAAAAAGTTGACCATCCATGTTCATGACAGTTAAGGTTCTGTCTGTTGTCCGATTCACACTGAAGAACCAGAAATGGATAGTGACACTGCATATTATTCCATTCTTTGAAGGACTGACTTTGTGACTGAGCTAGCCAAATTAATGTCAGAAAAAAACTCAGAGAGACAGCTGAATTGCTTCAGTTGAATCCAAGCATATTTACCATTATTAGATTTGATTTATTGCCTGCTCTGCACCATAAGGTCCCAGGGTAGGGTGCAGCAATTTAAAAACGCAGTATGTAAAACAGTTTAAGACAAACTGAGAGTCATGGGAATAAGGTGGGTCCTTAAAATATGCATGTTCGGCATCACAAACAAGGGTAAAGAGGTTCATCTTCAACATATAACAGAAACTACATACAGAGTGGTACCTCTGGATATGAACTGCCCCCTTTGCGAATGCTTTGGGCTACGCACGCAGCAAACCTGGAAGTACAGTAGATGCTCAGGTTGCGAACGTGATCCGTGTGGGATGCACGTTCGCAAACTGCAACGTCCGCAATGGTGCGTCTGTGCACACGTGGGTTGCGATTCGGCACTTCTGTGCATGCACAAAGTGCAATTTAGCACTTCTGCACCTACGCAACCGCTGAAACCCAGAAGTAACCTGTTCCGGTACTTCCGGATTTCGGCGGTGTGCTACCTGAAAAAACGCAACCTGAAACATCTGTAACCCAAGGTATGACTGTAAAGGAAAGGTTTCCGCTGCCGGCGCCTGCGCGGAAGTGGGCTACCGCTGCCCGTGCCTGTGCAGAACAGTGCACCTCTGGGTACGAATGTTTTGGGGTAAGAATGGACCCCAGGAACGAAGTTCGTATCCAGAGGTACCACTGTAATGATGGTTCCTGATGCACCTCTTGGAGAGGGAATCTGACAAGTTAGCGGCTCTCCTGGCCACCTCTACTCCACCCAAAATTCTGAGGGCAGCAGAGGGCCCCTCTGCTCATCATAATATCTGGGAGGGTCTGTAGGGGCAGGAGTTCCTTGAGGGTCAGTTTGCAGCAACTCACCGCATAAGGAGAGGAACCAGTTGCTGACCATGGTGCTGACCAGGGGGCTAAGGTAATAAAGGTGAATTGGGGACAAAAACTCTCAAACAAGAGATGCATAAGCAGCATTGAGAGAAACTTGGGGGGGGGGGGAAGGTATCTACCAGTGCTGCCGTACTCACTACTGCAGTGTAAACAACCCAACCCTAATGGCAGGACAACAAAAGTGGATTTTGCAAGCCCTTGTGGCCGCCAAGTGACTTTTGCAAGCCCGGAAGGGCAAACACCCACCACTTATTCTGCGATGGTCTAAGGAGCTGACTGCCCTTGCTATTTTTAATGCACTTCTTACAGATGTCAATTTTGTTTGCATACCTGCCAGGAAATCGGGATGGCATATATATTTTTAGACGCCAGGTGAAAACGTTCCTCTTCAACGAGGGTTTTGGACAATTCATATTCTACAGCTTTTTAAATGTGTTTGTCGGAGCGGGAGGGCAGCAGGATATTGCTTTATTGTTTCTGTTTTAACCATTTATTTGTGCTTTTTTATCTTGTATTTTTATCTTGTGAACCGCCCTGGTATCTTCTGATGAACGGTGGTACATAAAATCAAATCAATTAATCAATAAGATATCTATCAACTTATATATGTCTAAAGCAAGACGGATATATTAATATTCATTAAAGTATGCTAGTGTTTTCTCTTTCTTTCTTTCTTTCTTTCTTTCTTTCTTTCTTTCCTTCCTCCCTCCCTCCCTCCCTCCCTCCCTCCCTCCCTCCCTCCTTTTGTTAAATTTGCTCAAAGAAGCACATACATACACACTCAGAGCCTCACCTTCATTAACTAGATACCGTGCATAGATAAGGAGCCAGTGGCGGTATTCGTGACTTGACTGTAAAGTCAGCGCTGCAGCTACCTGACTCTCCAGATACGCCAGAGTCGTTTCCTGCTGCACCAAATGAGGCATGGAGAACAATCTTGCCGCTTGCCTCCCGGAGCTGCAATGAAGAGCAGTGACAGGAATGTTTTCAGAAGCGAAGAAGCAACTGCTTCAACTGTAAGTGTCCATATCTATGTTGTACTCAACAGCAACCTTGGGCTCACACTCTCTCTTCCCTGCTCCACCTCCACACAGCTTCGCCAAGAGATCAGAAGCTTCCGCTCACAAATCAGGAATAGAGGGGGACGAAGGATTGCATGAGCCAGAAGCTATTTGTGCTTGTAATGGCAAGCCAACAATAGCAGATGCTTCTGAATTATTGCCATTAATACTGGATCATCCCTGTAGATGGTGCTTCACAAAGAGCAAGGGGGCAAGTCCTTACCCAAAATGGCTCACAGCGTAAAGGGAGACAGGAGGGAGACAACAGAGGAAGGAAAAAGAAAGGGCACCAGGGTAAACAGGGGGTGACTATTCAATTACTTAAGGCTCGCGGGTGGCACTGTGGGTTAAACCACAGAGCCTAGGGCTTGCTGATCAGAAGGTCAGTGGTTCGAATCTCCGCAACAAGGGTGAGCTCCCGTTGTTCAGTCCCAGCTCCTGCCCACCTAGCAGTTCGAAAGCACGTCAAGTGCAAGTAGATAAATAGGTACCACTCCAGCGGGAAGGTAAACGGCGTTTCCGTGCACTGCTCTGGTTCGCCAGAAGCTGTACGCCAGCTCCCTCGGCCAATAAAGCGAGATGAGGGCCGCAACCCCAGAGTTGGTCACGACTGGACCTAATGGTCAGGGGTCCTTTACCTTTATTCAATTACTTCAGTTACACACACTTGGTCTTTAGTCCCTGGCCCTCCAGATGGGAACAGAATGCGGGACTAAAAAGACCTTTAATCCAATCCAGTAGGGCAGTAGCTCAATGCTTTTTTGGCTCTAGATTCTCACAATTAGGTTTTGTACCAAGTGAGAAGGGCGTGTGAACCTTGAGGAATAAACTAGCCCCCAGCTATGCAAAATTTGGCTACTTGCCAGGGATAACGACACGGAAACTACTGGGGAGGCAACAACAATAACAAAAAGACGAGGCTTAGTAAGTCCATACTTAGACGTTCTCCCTTGTATTATAGCTAACGGTCCTGAACACAGCATAGCCTCCTGCGACGGCAAACTGTTCCTGAAGTCCGCACATTGCGCTAGAGTCTCCTGCTTGTCAGAAACAAGGTTCCTGGAAAGACAAAAAAAGATTTGGAGGTGATTAAAAAGGAGGGGGTGGGGAGGGGATTAAATTGAAATGAGAGGGGGGATATTTACTTAGTTTTAATATTTATACACAAGTAGGGTCTCAACCGACACGGGTGGCTCTGTGGGTTAAACCACAGAGCCTAGGGCTTGCCGATCAGAAGGTCAGCGGTTCGAATCCCGGCGACGGGGTGAGCTCCCGTTGCTCTGTCTCTGCTCCTGCCAACCTAGCAGTTCGAAAGCACATCAAAGTGCAAGTAGATAAATAGGCACCGCTCCAGCGGGAAGGTAAAAGGCGTTTCCGTGCGCTGCTCTGGTTTGCCAGAAGCGGCTTAGTCATGCTGGCCACATGACCCGGAAGCTGTACGCCGGCTCCCTCGGCCTATAAAGCGAGATGAGCGCCGCAACCCCAGAGTCGGCCACAACTGGACCTAATGGTCAGGGGTCCCTTTACCTTTACCTAGGGTCTCAACCCAAAGTGCTCAAAGCTGTTTGCTTAGGCAGGAAATTGTGGCTTGCAAACATGTTTTGGGTAAAGCGGAAGGTCACAAACGAGGCCGTCCCCATCAGGCCTCTTCTACCTCAACTGTCACCTGGGATGGGGGCAGTCTGCCACTCCAGCAGACTGCCTCAGAGGAAGAGATGAGAAGAAGGGTTCATTCCATTGGCTTTGATAAAAGCCCGGCTCCATCAGGCACCTCTTGCCCCCAAACCGTGCCAGTAGATCATTGGAAGAACAGCTGTTTAAGAACAGGTGCCTGAGTTTGATTCCCCCAACTTCCCTCCCTGCCTGTTTCCCCTTTTGTGTCTTCTCTCTCTCTCTTTTAATACTGTAAGCCTGCAGGCAGGAACTGTCCTGTTTTAATTGATTATATGCAAGACATGCCGGGAGCCTACACTGGCTGAAGAGCGAGGTACAAGTGCTCTAAATAAACAAATAAGCAAAGGTTGGCTTTCAAGTTTAGAGCTTCCCCCCTCGGACAAAGGAACGCACTCGACAAACCCATTCCCCCCCCTCCTTTAGGTGCTTACCAAGAAGACAGGGAAGGGTTAAAGCAATAGGCTTTTCCATCAGACATGTTCATTAAGGGATGCCATGCTGTGTCAACAAGATCTGAGACACAGTTGTTTCGCTTCCTATAAAAATCAAATCAGATAATGAGACTTCCTTGGAGCAAAGTCATAGCAGGGTTACAAGTCTGGGTAGAGCTTAGTTGGGTAGAATCCATCATGTCTAAAGAAAATAAATGTGGAGGGGGATGAAAAGGAGAAGGAGTAGGGGGAGAAGTGGCCATGAAGTGTTAGGGTGATGTGTTTTGACCACACAGGATGTTTAATGCAGGCATAGGCAAACTCGGCCCTCCAGATGTTTTGGGACTACAACTCCCATCATCCCTAGCTAACAGGACCAGTGGTCAGGCATGATGGGAGTTGTAGTCCCAAAACATCTGGTGGGGCGAGTCTGCCCATGTCTGGTTTAATGCCTAGCACTACAAAGCACCCCTAACTGGAAATAATTTCATTACCTGCTAAAATTGTTTGCAGGGACTCGTCTTTCACCACCACTGCCTGTTTTTGAGCATTCCTGGAAAGCACAGAAAGGGGATGGCATTTCAGTTCAGCAAAACACAGAAGAGGCATTTCTGCAAAGGGAGAAACTGAAACATGGCACGGTAAAATATTAAAACGGAAAAGCAAGGAATTGCCGCTGGAACGTTGGCACCAGTCTCATAGGATGCTAAGTGTCGCACCAATATAATTCTTGGGAAGATTCAGGGGGCTATCGCTTCATTGGCACCAGCTCACATGGGAAAGCCTGAAATGAACCAGGTCCTGCTTTTGAGAAACTGTAGAGGACGCGGGTGGTGCTGTGGGTTAAACCACAGAGCCTAGGACTTGCTGATCAGAAGGTCGGCAGTTTGAATCCCCACGACGGGGTGAGCTCCCGTTTGCTCGGTCCCTGCTCCTGCCAACCTAGCAGTACGAAAACACGTTAAATAGGTACCGCTCCGGCAGGAAGGTAAACGGTGTTTCCGTGCGCTGCTCTGGTTCGCCAGAAGTGGCTTAGTCATGCTGGCCACATGACCCGGAAGCTGTACGCCGGCTCCCTCGGCCAATAAAGCGAGATGAGCGCCGCAACCCCAGAGTCGGCCACGACTGGACCTAATGGTCAGGGGTCCCTTTATCTTTACCTTACTGAAAGCCTCACAGATAAGGCTACCCATGGCTACCAGCTACAATGACTATGTTCTGCCTCCGCAATCAGAGGCAGTAAGATCTTGTGCTCAGGTCCTGCTTGCAGGCTTCCCACAGGCATCTGACCAGCCATTGTGAGAACAAGATGCTGGATTAGATGGCCCTTCGCCTGATCCAGAAGGCCATCCCCCCATGGGAGATGGTGTCAGTGGTAGCTTGTTTTCAGCGAGTCTGGACAAGGTCCATTTTCCATCTTGGTGTTTCCTCCACACATACGACCCTCAGCTACCCCAAAGCCTCCTGCTTCCTCAAATTTTCCCTTGATGCCTCTTATAACTAGAATTGCCTCCTGGAATGCCTCTGAGTGACCACCTCTCTTTATTTCCTCATTCACCTTTTCCAGGAAACCTCTGGATCTCCACCCCAACCCTTTCATTATCCCTACAGTTGCCGCCATGCTTGCTCACAGAGAGAAACCCTTTGCACCTCAGCTCTGCTCACAATGGAAGGTAGGTGTCCAGTCCTGGCATCCAATAAAATATAGGTATGCTCAGTATAGGAGAGGCTGAGGCAGTCCAAAAACAAAGGGAGCAAGAAGGGAGCCAACAGCCTCCCATATATTGTGGATTTCAGAAGGGATAACAATTTATTATTTATACCCTGCCCATCTGGCTGGGTTTCCCCAGCCATTCTGGGTGTTTCCCAACAATATACATATATTTTAAAAAATAATCAAACATTTAAAACTTTCCTAAACAGGACTGCCTTCAGATGTCTTCTAAAAGTCAGATAGTTGCTTATTTCCTTGACATCTGATGGGAGGGTGTTCCACAGGGCGGGCGCCAATACTGAAAAGGCCCTCTGCCTGGTTCCCTGTAACCTCACTTCTTGCAGGGAGGGAACTGCCAGAAGGCCCTTGGTGTCCTGGCTGAAAGATGGGGGTGGAGACGCTCCTTCAGGTATACTGGGCCGAGGCTGTTTAGGGCTTTAAAGGTCAGCACCAAGACTTTGATTTGTGCTCGGAAACATACCTGGAGCCAATGTAGGTCTTTCAGGATGTTGAAGGACACCTTTTGCAGGTGCCAGAGGAGGGACTGGCAGGCAGAGTGATGCCCATGGGCAGCATGTTGGTGCTTATTGCAAAGTAAGTGCAATGGAAATAATCACATATGCTTCCCATGCCTCCACACACCTCCTTTCTCTGTTGTTTCTCTGGGTCAGGTTCAAGAAACGAGTCATGCCAGAGGAAGTTCAGGCAAGGAGTTGTGCTAGCACAATGAGGTCCCCCCGCCGTCTCCCTTGCCCCCAAAATTGGCTCTTGTGGGGGATGGGAGAATCCCAAGAACAGTGTAAGAGGGAAGGAGAGTGGGGATTGCTTCATTTGGTAAGCTGAAATGAATCAGCTGCCATTGCACTCGCTGGATTCCTCCCTCTGCACCTGTTGACTGTAACCTTCCTGAGGGCCACTGAAACGACGACAGCTTAGTGCTTACCAGACGGAGAGGGTTGCAGCCGTAGTGAGAGCCATGATGTAGAAGCCCGTGCAGTGCAAAGTGGAGATTGGCGAATGCAAGACGATGGGAGGGAGAAGGCGGCGGCCGCAAGCCGAAAACACAGACAGGGTCCGCTTCTCACAAGCAACGCTCACTACCTTGCTGGAAAAGAGACAGGGGACGGGGGAGAGAAATCAACTCAGAACTTCCAGTTATTTAATAAGACCGACGCGTCAAGCTTTGCATGAACAGTCCCCAAAGTGGCTTGCGCACAAAACGAAAACACAAGAAAGCGAGAAATAAAAACACATTTTAAAAAAGCACAACCCGACCTCCATGGTAAACAAGAGGGGAAAGCTACAAACATCTCTGTAATTGCACCCCAGAGAAAGCTTGGGAGAATGGGACAGCTTCCACCCGAAAACCTAAAATACTGTATTTTTTGCTCTATAAGACTCACTTTTTCCCTCCTAAAAAGTAACGGGAAATGTGTGTGCGTCTTATGGAGCGAATGCAGGCTGCGCAGCTACCACAGAAGCCAGAACAGCAAGAGGGATTGCTGCTTTCACTGCGCAGCGATCCCTCTTGCTGTTCTGGCTTCTGAGATTCAGAATATTTTTTTTCTTGTTTTCCTCCTCCAAAAACTAGGTGCGTCTTGTGGTTTGGTGCGTCTTATAGAGCGAAAAATACGGTATATTTCTGAAAGACATTCCCATCCTGCCCTTCTGTTATCAATATGAAGCATTCCATCAGCTGGTGGAACACGCAGGATGTACTTTTAATTTTGTTTTTATCCTAGTCAGAGAGCTGCCCTTGGGACTTGGTGACTGGGTGGCACGGGAACAGGAGGTCACTGAGCAGATGGTTCCACAGATTGCAGCGCCTGAAGAGGTGTTTATGGGGTAAGGTGATCCCATGAGTAAACTGGTGCCAAGACATTAAGGGCTTTATATACCAAGTTGATGCCTTCAACCTGGCCTGGTTGTGGCTGTGTTGTACATGCACATGCACACACACACACACACACACACACACACACTCACTCACCAGCTTCCTGCTGCTGAGAGAATTCGGCTGGTGAGGACCGTTTCCCATTCCTTTCCTTCCCGGTTGCACTTTAACCTGCTGAGTTTTGAACCTCCCACTGTGGTGATTTCATTCTCCACTTCAATGTACATGGAGGGATCTGAGCTGACCTGCAAAAGTTGGTTTTCTTAAGATGAAAGCTGAGCAAGAGAAAGTCAAATATATATTCCAATCCAAACAATTAAAAAAAAAAAACACACCCTGGAAATTTGAAGGTGCCGTTATCCAGCATCGAAAACGGTAGATTCTTTATTTAAGGACACACATTGCTCAAAGGCGGTGTCTCATCTGAAATACCAGCCCGTTCACAGCTACTGTATTATGTAGTAATAACTGAAACATTATTAAAAGTGCCTGCCAGCAGCATTATTCAGAATCACCATTATTACCAGGGCCCTTCCCATATTTTATTTGCTTGTTAAATTTACATACTGCTCCTAAAGAACAGCTCTCTGCAGTTTACAACTGCAGACTTGAGAGGAAAGGTAAGGAACAGCATTTAAGTACAGTGGTACCTCTGGATGTGAACGGGATCCGTTCTGGAGCCCTGTTCGCATCCGGGAGCGAATGCAACCCGTGTCTGCGCGTGCGCGGGTCACGATTCACCGCTTCTGCGCATGCTCATGACGTCATTTTGACGGTCTGCGCATGCGGCGAAACCCGGAAGTAACGTCGCCGCAGCACGTAACCCGAAAATACTTATCCCGAAGCTACTTCAACCTGAGGTATGACTGTACAGTTAATCTGCTCTGTCAATGCAGTCCAAATCCAAATCTTTATTATTCTGCCAAGGGTCAATTGTACAGTACATCCCACCCCCAATAAATCATTTAGGGCAAAATGCAGCAAAACAGCACATCTGAACTTCCATGCTATACCAATACTTAGCAACAAGGGCTCATTACAAAGGAAGTGAAATGCTACCATTTATAATTTAACCTGATACTTTAACCCAAAGTTAGCAACCACCTATTATCTGGCTTTTCCCTTTGTTTTCTCGCTACCTCTGTTGTTCTGAACCAAGCTGGCAAGTTAACAGAGAGGCAGTGGGGTGGAGTGGTTAGAGTGTTGGATGAACCTCAAATCCCCACTGGGCGATGAAGGTCACTGGGTGACCTCAGGCCAGTCGCTGCCTCTCAGCTGAACCTCTCTCACGAGGTTGTTTGTGGCGATTAAATGTGGAGAGGGAGAACCCTGTACGCCACCCTGAGCAACTTGGAGAAAAAGGGTGGGTTAGAAATGCAATAAATAAAGCATATGGGATTCAGCTCCATCCTTTTTAATAGGCACGAGCTGAAATGAGGAAGCTGGCCGGATCAAATATGGTTCTCCCCCCCCCTTTTTTAAATTTAAATTTTATTTCCAAAACCGAAAAAAGAAAAATTGCAAACATCAAATTCAACATCCATATTCATTTTCTAACTTAAACCTATTACAAAATTAACTAAATTAAAATATACCCAATTAATCTAAACTTCTCTTTGCTGTATAGAAATACAACACAGTTAGAAATTTTATATTAAAGCTTTTATATTATAAATAATATTTCAAATTCCCCTGTACCCCCCATTCCCCTTTACCCATGTGTGATCTTATTTTATTTTATTTTTACTTCTTCCGTCTTGTTGTGTTGTTATAATTTAATTATTGTTCAGCTGATTTTTTATTATTTCCTTGCTTACCCCTGCACGTTTTACACATTATCTATTCCAGTTCCAGAACCATATTTTTTCATATATTCCTTCACTCCCTCCCACTCATTAATTATTCTCTGATTTGAATGGCCTCTAATAGTTGCCGTCATTTTTTCCATTTCCACAAAATCAGAGTTTACTTTGCCATTCTAATAATGATGGCATTTTCTCCCCCTTCCAGTTCTTTGCAATCAGTATTCTGGCCGCTGCTGTTGCGTAAAGGAATACATTTTTCTTATCTCTGGGAACGTCCAGATCAAATATGGTTCTATGGGTCCGGCTTGTCGGCAGGAAGACCAAAATGTCATCTTCTCCCAATCCCTTTTATACCCCAAACACTTTACTGGGAACCTCTGCCTTGGGAAACTGTGAAGACTTCGCTCCTTATGCTCCGGAGTTTCCGCAGCTGGCTGTCCATGCCGATCCTAGCGCTTCTCTTGGAACTAACCTGCTGTTAACTGCAGAAGAGTCAGTGTAGTTTTTTGGTTTTCTTTATCCAACACTTACTTGCAATGCAAACGATTTCTGAGGGACTGGGGTTGGCAGTTTAAGTGCTAGCGGTGCACTGTGGCAAGCACCATCCTTCTCAGAAGTCAGGATTGCTGGAGACTGAAAGGCAAGAAGGAAAACTCAACCAGGCTGCTTGGCGTAAAGACGCCTGTGTCCATTTAATTGCAAACACCAGCTGGAGCCGTTGCCTTCCCACAAAGTGGTCTGTGGAAAGGAATCCAGGAAAGAGAGAAGGAGCAAGAGCAGGTCACACTGTAGTCTTCACCTGCTTTTCTCCTTCCTGGAGATTCTTTTCCACAAAGCTCTCAGTGGGAAGGGGACATTTTTAACACCTGCTCTTGCTCCACCAAGAGGTTTTTTTTGTTTTTTTCACAGTTCTTTACATATATGCATATTTTTTATTTTTTTAAAAAATATATATTAAAGATTTCTTGGTTTACAAATGTATGTGCAATGTCTCTTTTTTCAGGTTACATTTTTCTACAGATCAGTTTCATTTGTTTAGACATTAGTGTTACATTAGGAAGAAAGGGGGGAAAGAGGTGGAGGGGGATGGTGAGTGGGGTGGGGTGGCAATGCTTCTATTCTGCTTAGTGTATGTGTGGAGTTTTGTGTCAGCATCACTTGTGTGAGTTCTCTTTACTATTCGCTTGTATTCCTTTGGGGGTGAGAGAGGTTGGGGGTGGCCTAGGGTGTGGCTGGTTGTCTTTGACTGGCTGTGGTGAAATTTGTTTCCGTGTGTGTGTGTTTGGATCAGGTTAGCCAGATTGATTCGTATGCTGTTGGCAGATTCTTGTCATTGTCTTGTTGGGCTGTGTATGTGATAAAAAGTAACCATACCGGGGTGAAGGCATCTTCTTCTATTTGCCCCCATGTCAGTTTCAGTTTGTTGGTTAGTTTTTCTAATAAGGTTGTTTCCCATACTATCTGATACCATTGGTCTATGCCATGGGTAGGCAAACTAAGGCCTGGGGGCTGGATCTGGCCCAATCGCCTTCTAAATCCGGCCCACGGACGGTCCAGGAATCAACGTGTTTTTACATGAGTAGAATGTGTCCTTTTATTTAAAATGCATCTCTGGGTTATTTGTGGGGCATAGGAATTTGTTCACATTTTTTACCAAAATATAATCCGGGCCCCCACAAGGTCTGAGGGACAGTGGACCCTGCTGAAAAAAATCTGCCGACTCCTCGTCTATGCTTACTCCTGGCAGGTCTCTCCAGTGTCTGGCTATGATGTTTCTGGCTGCTGAGAGTAGCTGAGAGTAGTTCTTTGTGTATTTAGTAAATGATGTGCCACTTCAAGGTTGCCAGTCAAAAGTCAGGATGCAAATCGAGTACAGATAAATGTTTTTTTCATAAGCAAATGAACAAGAGAAGATGACAGGCACCCCAGTTACCTGAACTGTTAGCGTAACGGGCATCAGTCTTGAGTCCTTTCGAGGCCTGCCTTTCTTCTTCTTTTCTACTTCAAGGTCCAGTTTACGCTTGGACAGAATCATAGGCTTGGCTGGGATCTTTTCCTCACTGTCGCTGCTACTCTCCAAGATATCCTTAGGTTTGCTTTCCCTAATTGAGTTCTGCTCCTTCAATCTGCAGGGGAAACACAGGGTTACTCAATGAAGTTTCAAAAGCAGTTTCTGGGCTGGTTCGTGGGGGTGGGAGTGGCCTAATGATTAAAAATCCACACGTTTTCAAACAACATTTGGAGACGTTTAATTTAGAGAAATGGCAGAGAAGACATGACAGAGGTATATAAAATTGTGCATGGTGTTGGGACAGTGGATAGAGAAACGTTTCCCCCCTTCTCTCACAACGCTAGAACTCAGGGCCATCCAATGAAGTGGGACCCTGGACAATTCAGGGCAGACAAAGTACATTCGTACCTTGGATCTCAAACGCCTTGGCTCCTGAAGAAATCGGCTCCTGAACAATCGAAACCCGGAAATGAGTGTTCCGGTTTTCGAACGATTTTCAGAAGCCAAACGTCCGGCGCAGCTTCTGATTGGCTGCAGGACGCTCCTCTGAATACCCCTCTAGCTCCTCTGAATACCCCTCCCTAACTTTCCATTTTTAATAATATGTGATTGAATACATTCTTCAATGTCCTTCTTTATTAACTTTTGAATAAACACGCATTCTTCAGTGTCTTCATTCATTAACTTTTGATTAATTGTCTTATTCATTAGTTGTTTCTTCCTTGCTCAGTAGCCTAAGGTTAATTATAATGTTCTGCCTAGCTGATTTATTGCATTCCTATAACGCGACACAGTGCAGGTTTCCATGGTTATTGCCCATATACATTTTTTTTCCTGCTGGTAAGGGTTAGTGAAAGTTCATTTGCATGTACCAGGCTACACAACAAGAAAACGGAGTCTTAAGAAAATGCAACTTTGGAGGAAGTGGAATTTCCTCCTTCACTCTCACCTGGGCACAGCTCATTCCTCACCTGTCTATGGCAATCTGATTTGTGTGTGCTATGGCAGAAGTCCCTGAGGTGGCTTTGGATCGCTCTGTGAATCTCGAATCAAATGCTTTCATTGGCTCTATCTTAGAAGAGGCTGGCAGCACAGAGGGCGAAGATGCAGGGGGAGCAGCTGAAGCAGAGGTAGCATTTACACTGTAAAAAAAGGAAGAAAAAGCTGAGTTAGGGCAATATATATTGGGGGGGGATGTTCCACAGGCCAACAAAACACCAAAATGAAAGATCAGAAGCAGTGGGAAATGGCGACATCAATCCCCATTGTTTCACATCAGTCCCCAGGATGGAAGCTGTTTTTCATCCTAACATGGCACATCTTGGGTGAAGTGGCCCCTTCTGCCCCTCTGGGTACCGTATTTTTTGCTCTATAAGACTCACTTTTTCCCTCCTAAAAAGTAAGGGAAAATGTGTGTGAGTCTTATGGAGCGAATGCAGGCTGCACAGCTATCCCAGAAGCCAGAACAGCAAGAGGGATTGCTGCTTTCACTGCTCAGTGATTCCTCTTGCTGTTCTGGCTTCAGAGATTCAGAATTTTTTTTTTTCTTGTTTTCCTCCTCCAAAAACTAGGTGTGTCTTATGGTCTGGTGCGTCTTATAGAGCGAAAAATACGGTAATTGGAAGGGCCTCTAGCTGAGTGAAGAGAACTGGAATGAAGCCACTGGAAGCCAGTGACTTGCCTTGTCCCTCCCCATGCCTTCCAGGTACTTCTTTGGGAAGGTTATTTTTAAATTTCATTTAATGAAATTACAGTGGTAACTTGGTCCTCAAGCTTAATCCATTCCGGGAGTCCGTTTGACTCCCGAAACCATTCAAAAACCAAGGCGTGGCTTCCGATTGGCTGCAGGAGCTTCCTGCACTCAAGCAAAGCCATGCCGGACGTTCGGCTTCTGAAAAACGTTCGCAAACCGGAACACTTACTTCCGGGTTTGCGGCGTTCAGGAGCCGATATGTTCGACAACTAAGCCATTCTAGAACCAAGGTACCCCTGTATATAAAACAGAGAGAACAATGATAACAACGGGCAAAAGTTAAAAGATGAAAAAGGAAACTATAAAATGTGCGTGTGGAATGAGTAGTTGCACATGAGTTAAAATAAGAAAGGGAAAGTAAAGACTATCAACTTCCAACAGATCATCAGGTATAGTTCCATAATTGCCAGGCTTGTGATGAAGGTACTTTTGACACCTCTGCATCTAGCACTTTGCATGCTAGCAGTTGTAGGAAATCCGGCTGGTGTTTTCTGCATTTCTCACTTCTGACGAAGTGGCTGGTGATTATATCACCATGAATTCCTGACTGCACTGGATAGAGTTTACTGTATCTGACTCCAGCTTATGTATTTAAACAACTGATAAATAATACCAACCGATATTGTGTTAGAGTGTGGGATACTGCCACATAGACCAATGGTCTGACTCCATATAAGGCAACTTACTATGTTCCTAGACTATTTTTGTGACAAACTTAAAATGTTATAAAGTTGGCAAGTGGTGCAAGCAGGTGTGCAACCCTTAATGCGTCTGTGTGTGCTTTTGATAATCCCACAAAGTTAAGACTGCACACACATACACCATACATTCAAAGCACATGGCTTATCCAATAGAATCCTGGGGACTGTAGTTTTACCTTTCAGAGTTACCCTTAACAAACTACTGTTCCCAGAATTCTTGGGGGTGTTGCTGTTGTGTGTTTTAAACGCATTGTTCGTACACAGCCTCAGCTTATGATTAGTGGTTAAGTGGTGTCTATTTCCCTATAACCATTTAACATATTCCCAAGAGAGATGTTTTCCCCCCATTCTGTTGCGTTGTTAGAATTACACAGTAAGTTTTTTCCAAACACATTTTCAAATCACTGAGGATCAGTGAGAGGCAATATGAAAGTTATTCCTGCGATGGGCTCGTTCAGAAACACAAAATCATAGCTAACAAGAGTCGCAGAGCGACCGACATGCAGTGCATGGACAGAGCCCCCAAGTCACAAAAAGTTAGAAGACGAGATCTCCGTTGCCCGGTACTGACCCATCTTTGTTGCCTGCGTCTTCGGTTGGTTTAACACTCACTGCCACCGGCTCTAAGGCAGGCTTAGACGTGCAGAGGATATTGGTTGCATTGTAATCTAGTGACATCAGCTGATTGGTTTGAGAAGCTGACATCATTGAGCCTGCTAAGGATCCAGATATAGGAATACTATTGAAAAAAGCTGTAGAAAAATCCCTGTTTTTCGGGGGGAAACAGACAACAGTCAAGAGATTAGCTGGATTATATACGTGCCACATAATCGAAGGTGTATACATTTCAAACACAAATGTATGCATTGAATTATATAATAAAAAGGAGGAAGAGACTGTATGTAAAGTAGCACTAAGAGACATGTTCCATCAGCACAAAGATTTATGCTGCATGCAGAGTCAGAGGTGAGTACATCAACCTCCTTCTGGGATTCTCAGCATATCTGAGTTACACAATCAGAAATGGATGCATTCGATTTGCCATTTTCACCATTGTAGCAACTGCCCCCCACCCTTGTGGTGTCGGAAACAGTCGGAGGCTACCAGTTCATGCAGGGAACTTGAAATTCCTGGGAAGTCTTCCCAAGGGTAGCCCCAGGTATAGTGCACCGCAGTAGTCAATGGGTTTAGCAGTTACCAGGGTGTGAGCAATGGCAACCAGCCTGCAGACCCTGAAAGAACCTAAACTGCTTAGGTCTAGGTTATCTGAAGAACTTGCACAGGGCTTCCGCTTACATAAGTCATTAGTTGACTCTCACCCTGAATCTTTAAGAAGCAGCAATAACTTAGAAAAAGTACATACATCAAAAGACAAGTTACAGAGTAGTATAAAAGTATTTTCACAACAGGAAGACAAGATGGTTTCTCTTTAAATGTACAAATGATTTAAGAAAATCTCAGCAGAACAAAATATAAAACCTGTCATTTTATATTTCATAGATAGGTAGATAGATAGATAGATAGATAGATAGATAGATATAGAGAGAGATATAGACACGGGTGGCGCTGTGGTCTAAACCACTGAGCCTAGGGCTTGCCAATCAGAAGGTTGGCGGTTCGAATCCCTGTGACGGGGTGAGCTCCCGTTGCTCGGTCCCTGCTCCTGCCCACCTAGCAGTTTCAAAGCACGTCAAAGTGCAAGTAGATAAATAGGTACCACTCCGGAGGGAAGGTAAATGGCGTTTCCGCTCCAGCGTTTCCGTGCACTGCTCCGGTTCACCAGAAGCGGCTTAGTCATGCTGGTCACATGACTCAGAAGCTGTCTGCAGACAAACGCCAGCTCCCTCGGCCTATAGAGTAAGAGGAATATATATACACACAAAGACATACATACCCAGTATCCAGCTGAGCTATGCAGAGAGGTGTGATTCTTCTCCGTCCATCTGCTGTCCGAGTCTCAACTTGTTTCTTTAAAAGATTCTGTTGGGGGGAAAGATGGCTGTTGGAACTTTTGCTTGTAATTGCTATAAAGGCCTATTGCAATGCATCAAAAGTCTATAAACTGGACATTTTATCAGTTTATTAAAATACTTCTATCCCTCCCACTCATATAAAACAACAAGGCAGCATATGACCTTTACAATAAAACAGTTATAATAAAACGTAAGGTACCATAAAGAGAATACAAAATAATAATGATAGCCGGCTCATCGTAAGAAAATTTGAGCAGGTAAATAGGCCTATTGCCATAAAAAAAGGCTTGAGGAGCTATCTGAAAGTTAGCACTGATTACACCTGCTGAATGTCCTAGACCCCAAGTCCAAAACTCTAGATAAGCCCACTCCGCAGTTTCATGTAGATATTAAATATCATAGGTGGTTTTCAACCCGCATGCTATGGCACCCTGGGGCCCCTTGAATGATGGTCAGGGGTGCTGTGGGCAACACTGGCCTCTGTCCCTCTTTCCTTCCTTCCCTCCCTCTGATGCCCTCTTGTGTTTCTGCCTCTCAAAGGCTTGCACAGCTATTTGTTGCAGCAACCTTGGCTGCAAACTCTGTAGGCGAATGGTGTCTCTGGGGCTAGCCAGGGGGTGCTGGTTGCTAGGAACCAAGGCGGCCTTGGACTAAGCAAGCAAGGAGGCGAGGGAGCCCAGCCAGCAAGTCCGCCAGCTCTTACTGTTGGGAATGGACAGACAAGTCCCAGGTGGCTGTGGGGCAGTGTGAGGAGGCACCTCTCTTTGGGGCGGGGGGGGGCAGCTCAGAGACCAGGGGCAGCGGCAGGGGCTGTCCGTAGGGGAGAGGACAGGAGGCTGAGAGAACACTCCACCAGGTTGTTCAAAAAAGGGTGAGAGGCTGCCAGCTCTGCAAGCAAGGGGTGACATTACTGGACTCCTGAGCCCCACAGTGGTGACGCAGAAAGAATGTACAGTGGTACCTCGGGTTACAGATGCTTCAGGTTACAGACTCCACTAACCCAGAAATAGTACCTCAGGTTAAGAACTTAGCTTCATGATGAGAACAGAAATTGTTAGGCAGCAGCATGAGGCCCCATTAGCTAAAGTGGTACCTCAGGTTAGGAACAGTTTCAGGTTAAGAAAGGAGCTCCGGAATGAATTAAGTTCTTAACCTGAGGTACCACTGTAGTTGGTCAAGGGAGCCGTGGATTCAAAAAGGTTGAAAACCTCGAACGTCGGGGATAAAACTGAACCCTGAGGAACCACACACCCTTAACTCGGACAGCAGCTCCAGTAGGATACCACAGTCAATGATATCAAAAGCCACTGAGAGGTAAGGAGAATGAAGAGGAACACATTTCCCCTGCCTCTTTCCCGACAGAGGTCATCATACAAGGCCACCAAAGCAGTTTCTGAGCCAAAGCCGGGTCTAAACCCAGACTGAAATGGATCTAAGAAATGACTGAATCACTCAATGCCTCACCAAGGCTCCAGTTGTCACAGCCTCTCCAGGACTAAGCATGAGTGGATGGGAACCACACCGACCATTCTGTGCTGTGTCAAATGCTCGGAAGGAGCCAGATGCCAAACTTTCCCCTTTTGCAAAGGTGACATGAAGGAAAAGAACCACCACCGGAGTCACCTACCTTCCTAATGTCTTCCAGGCTCTCCCCATTCACCATGCTAGCTACTTTAGTTGCTGCTGCTGAGCCAGCTGCATCTCTCGCTGCTTCGTTCTTCTTTTCCACCTGCTGCTGCCTTTGCTGGTACTTCAGCATCTCTGGATTCTCAATGATAGCAGTAGACAGGTGTGCCTCGGTCATTATAGCCAAGCTCTTGCCATAAGTGGTCTGGTGGATGTTGCTCTAAGGGGCGCAAAGGTGAGAACACAAGAGCAGCCGCTTAAACTGCGTGCACGAATCTTGATCAGAAATGACAAAGGACTCGGGCGACGGACTGAATATCCAAATGATGCAGAAACCTTCAGCTGTACTGACTTATTTATTTCCGGCTGCATTTGTCTGCCGGCTTGCACCATTATTTAGAAATGATTCAGGTGCTATGCAAAAATGAAGGCAGGAGACGGACTCTGAGAAAGAGGTTTAGAGTATGCGGACAGGAGGGACCAGAGGAGCATAAAAGAGAGTAGACTAAGGAAAAGCAATAGATAAATGAGGATTTCTGAAGGAAGCGATGGAGGGCATTTCAAACACCAGTGATGCTGTAGACTGAGCATGCAAAGCATGTACAACCCCACTAAGCTAGCCTTCTCCAGCCTAGTGCCCTGCAGATATTTTGGACAGCAAAACCCATTGTCCCTGCCCATTGGCCATACTGGGGGGGGGGAGTGATGGGGAGGGTCCAAAGCATCTGCCAGCTACCAGGTTGAGGAATGCTGCGCTGAGCTATATGGACCTCCCCTTTCAATGATGGCAGAAAAAGGAAAGAAGACTTGAAAAGCATAGGGATGTACACAAAAAACCAGGTATCTGTTGAGTGCAGGAATACATGCACATAACCTGTGCACCTGCCATATATTCCCAGCTGTGATCCAAAGGATGTGTTAGAACTGGCAACATGACCCCCACCCTGGCAAGAAAAGGTTCTCCCAGATGCGACTGATCAGCACAGTTCAAACCATGTCTACTCAGAATCCAATCGGGATTGCTCCCAGGTAAGTGAAGTTAGGGCTGCAGCCTTAATTAGCAAGCCCATCCAAAATAGCGCAGGGTTATATGGCTTTAGTAGAAATGTTATAAGGAATTAAGTATAAATAGATTAATAGAATATTAAAGGGAAAAATAAGGCAAGAATGTGTTAAGATAATTATAGGATAGAAAACAGAGGAAGATGGAAAGGAATTGCTGAAACAATTAATAGAAGTGGAATACAAAAAGGGAGGTGTGAGGTCGTTGAAATAAGTGAATGAAAGATAAGATATTGAAATTGTTTGATGTGTTTTAAACTGTTTTTGTTTTGTTTTGTTAGTTTAATGTGTTAGTGTTATGTAGTGTTTGTGTATTGTATTGTATTGTTCTTTTTTTGGTAGTGTTTAAATTGTTGGAAAAGTAATAAATATTATTAAAAAAATAATAATAGCGCAGGGTACCTTCTCTTCCTCGCTCAGAGGGTCGCCAAGCTCGTCTTGGGAAAAATCCAAAAACGCTACTGATCCATCCATGGAGCACACCAAGATGCCAAGCCCATTTAAGGTCCTGGGAAGACAAAGATGGAGAATGTTGATTAGTACCTTAGACTGGAGAGAACAGCTCATGTAACTGGAAGACCAGCGGTTTGGTTGGATGTACAGTGGTGCCCCGCAAGACGAATGCCTCGCAAGACGAAAAACCCGCTAGACGAAAGGGTTTTCCGTTTTTCGATGTGCTTCGCAAGACGATTTTCCCTATGGGCTTGCTTCACAAGACGAAAACGTCTTGCGAGTCTTGCGATTTTTTTCGCTCCCCCCCCTTTTTCTATGTAGTTAACCTGCTGGCAAACCCAGGAACACACACACACACACACACACACACACAGTTCTCACATCAACCAGCCCGCAAAAATTATCAGGCATCCTGAACGATATTCCTGAGAAACTTAGCAAACCCAAGCAGTGTGCAGTATGCTTTCTGAGCCCAAGTACTCATCATATCCTGGGAGCTGCTGTAGAAGTTGCTCCTTCCTGCAACGCCAGGATTAACATGGGGAGACCCAAGCGCAGTGGGAGAAGTCCTCCTTGCCAGCATGAGCCAAAGTTGACCGCTAGCAGAGTGAAACTGCACACGGCAGGTCTGGAACTTCTAACATGACCCTGGCGGAGCTGGAAAGAGTGGCACTGCAGAAGCTCTCGTGCCATCGAGGCAACAGGGATACCCAGACCTAACTTCCCTGCCACTGAAGAAAGTCTTGCAGAAGATAAATGGGTGTTCAAATACCGCAGCAGGGAGCAGGATGAGAAACTCTAAGTTCTGGCCTTTTTTTGCATGTGCTTTTCAGATGGCCTTGGTTTTACACAGTTCAGCTTCAGAGCATGCACAAGCTGCACTCCTTAAGAAAGGAGTCTATTGCCATGGAACTGCGGTCTGGATGGCTTTGTGTATATGGGGCAGCAGGCAAATCATGCCCTACTGACCCTATGTTGTGCTGTCACCATTCCCTGTGCAGCTATTCAAAAATGGAAGCTGGCCGTCCATATTGCTTTATACCATAACAACGTGCTAACGGACCGACAAATCAGCCAAACACTCACAACACCATTTCAAGAGAAAGCGGGAACAACTGGCGAGTGACTATGCTGCTGTTATGATCGATACCATAGTATTTCATACATGAGTAAATAATGGCCATTACAGAATTCGTAAGATCAATAGGAAAAGACTGAGCCATCTCAAATACTTCCTTCCCGCAACCAATTTCTATATTATGTCTTCTTTTTTGCCAGGATACAAAAAGCCTCAGGCCAACAGTTTTTGAAACATATTCCAGAGACTCTGGAGGTTCTTCAGCAGCTTATTGGGAAATTCCCCAGTGAAAAGAACCACAGATAAGCTTCCGGAAAGATAGCTTGTGGTGTGCAATAGCAAAATGTTTTAGGTGTTTTACAGACAGTACCAGCTTCCCTGGGGCTCAGCGGGTGCTTTCTGCATCAGCTTTTAAATACCTGCTGCAAACTTTTCTATTCAGTCAGGCTTATGCCGGCAACTCAGAGCACATCTTTCCACAACAGTTATTCAATTTCACCTTTCTCACATGGTTTTTATTGTATGGTATTATGTACAGCTGCCGTGAAACCAGTTCGGTATTTTATTTATGAATCAGCAGCAAGTAAATATTTCTTATAAATAAATAAAATGAGCTTCTTGGGAAGGTGGGTGGGATACAAAAAAGTAGGATCCTCACAATGAAAACAGCCTGCTTTAAAACAAACCTTCCCCCCCTTTCCTTTTTAATAAACGCAAACAGGAATAAAATGCAAATTCAAACCCTCAGATGTTCCTTGGAGATGTTAACGTGCTTTACTTACTTGGGCGCTCACTAAACAAGCCAGGCATGGCAACCTACCCTGACATCCGCCAGACTTCATTTGATTGCCCTTATCAGTTTTATGGATGGTTTCATTTTACTTTGCCGAAACCTTCTTGGGCATTTTACAGTGTTGTTCTCTCCTTTTAATGGGACTAAAATTTGTGGTCTTATGTTATACTATCGGTATTACCGGTGTGTGTGTGTGTGTTTTTTTAGCAGGAACTCGGTGGAACTAAGTTCCCTCAATTTTTAAAAATTAAATAATAATCTCTTTTTTCTTTTTGTTTTGTTCTGGAATGGATATACACCCAATGCCTGAGCCAAAAATCCACCTATATCTGTAATCAATAAAGTTGTGGCCAATCCAGATCATTGTCTGCTTGGGTTTATTAATCGCATCTTACATTTAGCCACTACCTTGGGGGGGGGGCGGCGGCGCTACGACTGGGCCTGCTATAAACTAAACTAACTAACTAACGAACTAACGAACTAACTAACTAACTTCGTGGTGAGTTCCTCCACCTTTTTTCCAGGAAAAAAAAAGCCACTGGGAATTACTACTCTGGTTGTACACTCTGCCCCGAAAGCAATGCTGAAATCTGCAGCCTAAAAATCTTTTAAACAAAGGGGAAGGGAAGCACTTTTTCTAACCACCCACTTCCTGCTTAGGCACACCTTTTATTATCGTGCTGAGCTCAATTAAGGCCCAGATCATCAGCTTTGCTTCTCTTACCACCTAATCATTTCAAACCAGCAGAGGGAGCAACCAGAAAGAGGAGAGAGGGAACAGGCTTTTTACTGAAACTGAAGTAGCACTGCGGCGCCTTCAAGTGGCAGGGAGGTATCATTGCAACGTGGCATAAGAACATAAACATAGCCTCCTGGGGGAAGGAGCTCCATAGTTTAACTGAGCGTTGTCAACTATGTCTTGGAGTCCAGTCACCGCACCTGCCTTTCCAACCTGAACAGAGCCCCAGAAATTTATTCCATTTGTTTTTGCACTGCACTGCAGTCTATTAGACTTCTTATTGTTTCTAAGGCACTCACCATGGTGTCTTAAAGTAAAGGTAAAGGGACCCCTGGCCATTAGGTCCAGTCGTGACCGACTCTGGGGTTGCGGTGCTCATCTCGCTTTACTGGCTGAGGGAGCTGGCGTACAGTTTCCGATCATGTGGCCAGCATGACTAAGCCGCTTCTGGCGAACCAGAGCAGCGCACGGAAACGCCGTTTACCTTCCCGCCGGAGCGGTACCTATTTATCTACTTGCACTTTGACGTGCTTTTGAACTGCTAGGTTGGCAGGAGCAGGGACCGAGCAACGGGAGCTCACCCGTCATGGGGATTCGAACCGCCGACCTTCTGATTGGCAAGCCCTAGGCTCTGTGGTTTAACCCACAGCGCCACCTGCGTCCCTACCATGGTGCCTTAGCCACAAGCAAAAGACAAAATCAAGGATACGTTGTAAACCACAATGTTTTTATTTTGTTAAAAAAAATGGCTGAAAACTCGGGAAGTCAAACATTACAGAATTAAATGGGAACTGATGGTTGACCACAAGGATACAGTTTAATGAAACTGCAGAATGACTGGGCTTGCTGCCAACAGGAGATCACTATTTCCCAGTGAACAGCAAAGGAAATATCTTTTGTCGCAATCCAAGCCATATTTTGACAACTAGTGTGGTGCAGTGGTTAGATCACTGGACTAATACCACAGAGACGCAAGTTCAAATCCCCACTCAAGTCATGAAGCTCATGGGTTGAACTTGGGCAACTCGCTTTCAGCCTGACCTACCACACAGGGCTGTTGCGAGGATAGAACGGAAGTGATGAGAACAGTAGCCGCGACCTTGCTCTTGAGAGGAAAGGGGGAATTTAAAATGTAGTTAATGAATAATATCTTACCACGAGATGTCCATGATTGACTTGTCAAACAGCTCATGTATGACAACCAAAGGCCTTTTCAGACACGTCAGCTAAACAACAGAAAGTTGCATGGTGGTTATTGTCATACACAAGTCTCACATCCCATTCTCCAAGATCCAGCAACATGTAGAAGCTCATGAAACATATTAATTCATGCAAGCTGAATGCCCAACAATGGAAAACCTAGAGTGAGGTGGTCCAACGCACAACCCATGGGCCACATGAGGCCCTCAAGGCCGTTTTTGGTGGCCCTCAACAACATTTGACACCACACACCCCTCCCCAGCCTTCAAGCTGTCTTCCCAAAGCTGGGTAAGCGAGGTGCTGAGCTTTGGGAAGGAGGCGTGAGGGCTCTGACAGGGTCCTAAAGTCATCCCGCCTTCTTCCCAAAGCGTAGTTAGAGGCCTCGCTCCCCCCCACCCCCTGCCTGACAAGGCAGTTTGCGGCCCCGGGTTCTGCGTTGAAGTACTCTTGCGGCCTACTTGGGCTGCCTTGACCTAGAGGGAGAGAGGGAGGAAAGTATAGTGACGTTCCCGATAAAACAGCAACTGGGCCATAATGCACCACACACTAGCAGAGACAGACATAACTCCTAGGAACAAGCACAGGTTTTACTGTTGTGACTCTCCCCGACCCCTAAGCTTCGCTTTTTTACTGCTAAATATATGGGAACACAAGAAACTGCCCTATACCGAGCAGAACCATCTTTCCCATTGGGTTTACTGGTGCATTGCGCCAGGGCGCCGGCCTCTCAGGGGCGCCTCAGCGAGTGGGGGAGCTGTGCGGCTTTGTCGGCGGCCTCCCCTTTCCCTCCTGCACGCCCGCCAGCTGCGCCCCATCAACCATATGGCTGGCGAGTGTGCAGCTTCCTTACCAAGCCTCCATGGGAAGGTCGACAACTCTGGGAAACAGGGGGTGGAGCGCTGGAGGAATCTTTGCACCACGGCGCCGGATATGCTTAAGGCGGCCCTGATACTGAGTCTGACCACTGGCCAGTCTACCTCAGTACAGTGGTACCTCGCTTCAGGTTACATACGCTTCAGGTTACAGACTCCGCTAACCCAGAAATAGTACCTCGGGTTAAGAACTTTGCTTCAGGGTGAGAACAGAAATCGTGCTCTGGCGGTGAGGCAGCAGCGGGAGGCCCCATTAGCTAAAGTGGTGCTTCAGGTTAAGAACAGTTTCAGGTTAAGAACGGACCTCCGGAACAAATTAAGTACGTAACCCGAGGTACCACTGTATTGTCCACACAAACCGGCATTGGCTCTACGGGGTTTCCTAGCAGGGGTGTCTCCCAGCCCTGCCTGGCAACACTGGGGATCGAACCTGGGATCTTCTGCTTGTAAGGCAGAAGCTGTATAACGGAACTACATCTCTTCTACCACTAACAGAAATTCGTCCCCTGCCACTACCCATGTTCTCTTCCAGGAACTTAGCATATTCATCCAATTAAAAAATTATTTAGACTAGGGTTACCAGACGTCCCCGGTTTCTGGGGACAGTCCCTAGGTTTGCAAATCTGTCCCCGGACAAATTCTGTCCCCAGATTTGCAAATCTGTCCCTGGGAAACGTGGCAGCGGCAGCCTCAGCAGCCCGGAGCCAGCCTGGTAGCGCAGTTGGCTCTGGCTGGCTTCAGGAGCTGCTCGCGGAGCACACCATTTTTCCTCTCCAGAAGTCCCCATATGATGTGTCTTGTGCGCAACACTTCATATGGGGACTTCCGGAGAGGAAAAATGGCGGGTGCCACGGCCGCGAGCAGCTCCTGAAGTCAGCCAGAGCCAACAGCGCTACCAGGCTGGCTCTGGGCTGCTATCGCCACCGCCAAAAGGGAACCAGGGACGTTCGGTGATACGGATCTCCTGCCCCCTTCCCCCTTTGTTTTGACTGATCAGGGGAGGCTCGGGAGTCGTGGGTGGGCAGCCGTTGCCCAGTTTAAAAAAACCTGTGAATTTATGTTTCACAGGGTATGAAAGAAGGGCTTTGCACCTTTATACAATATGCCTGTGTGCTTGGGCCCAGGGTCTTTTGCCTCGCCACCCCCACTTCTGACTTCCCTGTCTGCACCTTGTCTGGCAGAGAAACCATGCGCCTTGTGCCCCTCCTGGGCAACGGCCACCTGCCCACGATTCCTGAGCCTCCCCTATTTGTCAAAACAAAGGGGGAAGGGGGCAGGACATGGGAGAGGCTCAGGAGTCACGGGCGGGCCGTTGCCCAGTTTTTTTAAAACTGCGCATTTATGTTTCACTGGGTGCGAAAGAAGGGCTTTGCACCTTTATACAATATGCATGTGTGCTTGGGCCCAGGGTCTTTTGTCTCACTACTGACTCCCTGTTGCTACTCTGCTTCAAAAAAACCAAAAAATTGTCCCTGGATTCATTGAAAAAAAATCTAGTAACCATAATTTACACCTCTTTTGTTAAAAAAAGAGAGAGAGAGCTTCCCAACCAGCTAATTCAGTATCATTTAAGCTTTCTTTAAACAGCCATAACAGGGTGGTTGGTGGCAGTATTGTGATTTCCACAAGGGCCAGACAGTCAGCACTCTCCGCAGCCTGCCAGGAAGGCGGGAGAAAGGTGGCTTCATGACTGTCGCAAAGACTAGCCAATCAGCACTCTGCACAGCTGGCTTACAACCAGCTGCTCCTGTGCATAATTTGCTTAAGTTCACACACCTGTCCCAAAAGGCAGAACCAGAGTGGGGCCCACTGTTCAAGATACACGTCTACCTCAGCCTGAGCTGGGCCATGTCAGCTAGAACAGAAGGCTTACTTACCCAGACAGAAAGAGACCGGTCTTTGCTACCAACAGCACAGCAGCAATAAGGGTGGCTAGATTTGGTTGAGCTCCCATTCTTCTGCTTCTTTTTGAAGATTTTTGGATTGAATTTCTAGGGAAGGGGGAAAGACCAGAGGGTCCTCTTAAAAATTAATTTGCTTTAAGAAGCCAAGCTAAGGTGCAAAGGAGGACCAAGCAGGTATTTTTGGTCCTCGCTAAAACTTGTATGTCAGACATGACCCAAACAAAGAATTATATAAATCTCTCCCAACATGCCTATTCTGTGTATTTCTGGGATGGCTGCAATGAAATACAATTATTGCAAGAAAAAGGAAAAGGAAAAAAGCTCTTTTGGCTCCTGTAGCCTCCTTGACTACCCTCCTGCTCTCTTTCAAGACCTTAATAAATAGCTAAAATAAGCACATTTGTCACTTTTTGTTCCTGAAGCCTACTGTTATCCACACACACACACACACACACACACACCCGCCACCCCATGCAAGACCTGGCTTAATAATTACCTAAAATAAGAACAATTGTCTCTTCAGTTCTGCTTCACTTCTGTCTACGATCAGGACAGGGAGTAATTTAGACCATTTGGGGAAAATCTAGGGGTGCTGCCACACCTTAAAGAAATAACAGGGCACTGACCTGAAAATGGCCATGTTCTGCTATTGCTCCTGCACTATAGGACAACCTTCCCCCTGCCATACACACAAGGTAGCAGCTTATCACCTGCTTCAGGTATCTTGTAAAGGTGTGGCTTTTTGGCTGACTGGTAAGATCTCAAGCCCTATCTTCATTTGTTTGAATGTCCTGCATTCCTGTTTTTATTTATTTCTATATGCTTGTATGTTTTATTTTTAGTTTAATAATATTGTTTGTTTTTGATGCAGTACATCGCTTAGTTTTTTAACACAGTGGTACCTTGGTTCTCAAACGCCTTGGTACTCAAACAACTTGGAACTCAAACACTGCAAACCCAGAAGTAAGTGTTCCGGTTTGCCAACTGTTTTCAGAAGCCGAATGTGCTCCATTTTGAGCGTTATGCTTCCAATTTGAGTACCACACTTCCGTTTTGAGTGTTACATTGGGGTCCGCCTGTTTTTGCTATTTATTTTGGGTTTTTGTTTTTGTGGCTCTTTTTGTTTTGTTTTTGTGCCTGAGTGGAACCCAGTTCAGCTTGCTAGGTTGGCAGGAGGTATGTGTGTGTGTGTGTGTGTGTGTGTGTGTGTGTATCAATATATCTCAGTTCATAAACGCTTTTAAATAAATGAACCTACCACCACTGTCACTGCTTTGCGATGGCCAACAAAATCCATGTTGGTCTTCCACCCGTCTCGCTCAATGATCTGTGCCGTGGGACCAGAATTATTCATGGCATGAGCAGAGACGAGATAGTGTCCGTCGGGTGACCAGCTGAGACGTAAAACATGGGTCGTTCCTCCACACTGAAAAGTAAAACCAGGCCACAGAAGGGACTGAGCATCACGTTTGCCAAATGTTCATGGATGATAAATGACACCCTTATCTGTAACCAGATTCAACACATATTATCTGTCACTGGCAGCATCTGGGGTGGCACTCACAGGTGCCCATGTCACCCAACCACTTTGGCTTCCTGGAGGATAGGGCTGCCAATGGCTACTAGGCTGGGGATGCTGCATTGTACCTTCACTGTTGGAGGCGGTCCGCCTCTGAATACCAGTTGCTGCTGTTGCATTCAGCTCCTGCTTGCAAGCATTTGTTTGGCCACTGTGAGAACAGGGTGCTGGACCAGATGGGCCGTTGGCATTTTCCAGGAGGCTCCCTATATGTTCTTATATGTTCTCTTTTCAGTCGGGCACAGAAGTTACGATTTGCAACCGTCTTAAGCCTATACTACGTGAAGCCCCAGTTTCAGAATGCAGCAACTGGGGAGAACAGACACTGAATTCCTAAGCTATATGTGGGAGAGAGAACAGCCACATGCACCCAAATATATATGGACCACACGGTGCTCAGTTTGGAAATGATGGCACCTGCTCATTTCAAAGGCACCTGACTGAAGAAGGCAAAATCGGTCAGCTGCTACGGCTCGGCTCAGATCAAGAACAGGCCAGGAAGCAGCAGTTCAGTTAGGTGCTTTTAGTCAAACCTTGGTTCTCGAACGGCTCCATTTTCTAACGTTTCAGCTCCCGAATGCCGAAAACACAGAAGTAAATGCTCCGGTTTTCGGACGTTTTTCAGAACCAGAATGTCCGACACGGCTTCCGATTGGTTGCAAGAAGCTCCTGCAACCAATCGGAAGCCGTGCCTTGGTTGTCGAACGTTTCGGAAGTCAAACCGTCTTCCGGAACGGACTACATTCGACAACCGAGGTATGACTATATGAGATTAACAGACGTACATCTTTGGAGGCCAATGTGTATTACTTCAATTACTCTGCTGTTTGTGGGCCGTTCTACTTAATTGGCTGAGTGGGGCCCTGGATGTTTGGCGCAAAGTCCTGTCTTGGATGGCAGGTGCCTTGGACTCACACTTGTCCACTTCTCTTTGCAGATTGTAATTTCCTCCTCCCCCTGGATTGCAGGATGCAGACCGCCAAACAACAGTTTGCATTTGTCCTGCGAGCCAGAACTGCAAACCTGGGAGCCCTGACATCTTGATCTGAAGCTAGGGGTTGAATACGCATAAAGGACAGATAAATAATCCCTTGTGGAGGTCTTGAAAGACATCTCTTGTAAGAAGGTTTAAAATTACATTTATTGCTCCTCCCACTTCTTCCTCCAGCCCTGCCCATCACTCCACCTGGAAAGGAATGCAGCCCCTGTGCTAAAAAAGCTACCCCACATCTGCAGTCATGTTCATTCACGGGATGAGTTCTTGAGACGGCTAACACAACACACACCTCATCAAACGGTTTGGTGATGCTGGTTTCTAGCTGCCAGTCCATGGTACGCCACACCTTCAAGCTTCGGTCATCTGCTTGCGACGCAATGTATTTTCCCAACTGGGTCCCAGGTGAGCCCCTTAACTAAGCCAGAATGTCCCTTCAGAGTGGCCAGAATTTCTGCATGCAGCAAAGAGACAAAAAGATTTTTTTTAAAAAAATACATGCCGACTTTTTCAAGAACTATTTAACTGGATAAAGCTGAGAGAGCTTTAAAATGCTACTGAAGCCCGACAACGTCTTGGTACAAGCTGGTATTCAATCATGCTGAATTCATAGTAGTAGTTGTTGTTTTTAAAAGATACTTGCATACAAATGCAACTAGGGGATTTGAAAAAATACAGTTGTACCTTGGAAGCTGAATGGAATCTGTTCTGGAAGTCTGTTCAACTTCCAAAACGTTCGAAAACCAAAGCACAGCTTCTGATTGGCTGCAGGAAGCTCCTGCAGCCAATCGGAAGCTGAGAAAGCCCCATCGGACATTCGGCTTGTTGGACATCCTTGCTCTAAAGCTTAACAATTGCAAGGCGGTGGAAGAGAAGACGCTGGGAGATTGGCAATAATATTAGTGGGGTCATTAATATTCATGAGGTCAGAAAGTAGCCCAGTTTTGATGCAGTCCCAAGTCAAACCATGGCTTACTGCATTTGCAGGCTTACTGCTTACTGCAAATGAGCAAACATGTGGGTCTCCAGAGTGAAGATTGCAGCCCCTGCACTCCTCTATCAGTCCTGCCACTGCCATGCTGTTGTTGTTGTTGTTGTTGTTGTTGTTTAGTCATTAAGTCGTGTCCGACTCTTCATGACCCCATGGACCAGAGCACGCCAGGCACTCCTGTCTTCCACTGCCTCCCGCAGTTTGGTCAAACTCATGCTGGTAGCTTCGAGAACACTGTCCAACCATCTCTTCCTCTGTCATCCCCTTCTCCTTATGCCCTCTTTCCCAACATCAGGGTCTTTTCCAGGGAGTCTTCTCTTCTCATGAGGTGGCCAAAGTATTGGAGCCTCAGCTTCAGGATCTGTCCTTCCAGTGAGCACTCAGGGCTGATTTCCTTAAGAATGGATAGGTTTGATCTTCTTGCAGTCCATGGGACTCTCAAGAGTCTCCTCCTGCACCATAATTCAAAAGCATCAATTCTTCGGCGATCAGCCTTCTTTATGGTCCAGCTCTCACTTCCATACATCACTACTGGGAAAACCATAGCTTTAACTATACAGACCTTTGTTGGCATAGTGATGTCTCTGCCATGCTACCTGGGGATAAGCCATGGTTTTGGCTTAGCATTACATCTGAGTTTGGGCTCATGGTTTGCCTTCCCCAGACAAATCGTGAGTGGTAAACCAAGAACAAACCCTGGTTACAGCATGTGGTTTTTCTGGAGCAAGACAAACCATGAGCCCAGGTTCGAACGCAATGCTAAGCCAAAGCATGGCTTAGTCTTAGGTAGTAGGGCAGCAGCAGGACCAGGAGAGGGCACAGTCCTTGTTCCGGGAACCCACGTGATGCTCATTTGTGTTAAACCATCGGCTTCGCTTAGCGCTATAGAGTGAACCAGGTTGGTTGGTTGGTTGGTTTTGTTCAAAAAGGTTTGCCATATTGAGCGGCAGCCCCCACAAAACAAAACCATTACCTCTTGATAGTCAGAACTCGGCGTTATACCTGGGAATTTGACAGCATTCCAGATGACAACAGTGTTATCCACACTACAAGAGGCCAGCCAGGCATCATGAGGAGACCACGCCACATCCATGACATCTGTAGGGGATACAAAAAACAAACAAACACACACCTTAAGCAAACCATTTCTCAGGGGAAACAGAAAACTAGCCACCCATCCGCTTAACAGCTCCCTTTGAGTTCAGAGAACTGAAATTCACAGCCGTCTGCTTGTTTCAGACGTGAGCAATGGTCAGCGAGCGATTTTAACTGTCGGCTTAGTGACAATCCAATCCTCCCCCCAAAAAAGCTCAACAACTGTGGGGCCATCTTCTGAAATTGGAGTCCCCCCAAATAGGGGGGCGTGTTATACACGGGAAAGTGCGGTAATGACTATGTGATGAGATCATAGGTTATGACTCTTGCTATTTTCTGCCTTTTATCTAGCTGTCCACCTGTTAAGCGAGGATGCAAATACCATATTTTTCGCTCTATAGGAAGCACTGGACCATAGGACGCACCTTGTTTTAGAGGGGGGGAACAAGAAAAAAAAATTCTCCCCCTTTCTGCTCAGCGCCCCTTCAGTGAAGCGGCAGGAGAAACGGAGCCCCTTCCATTTCTCCTCCTGCTTCGCTGAAGGGGCGCTGCACAGCTCTCCCTCTCTGCTGAAGCCAGGAGAGTCTTGCTCTCCTGGCTTCAGCGAAAGGAACGTGAAGCCTGCGGAGCGCAGCGGGAACTCACGCTGCGCTCCGAAGGCTTCAGGCAGCTATCCCTGAAGCTTGGAGAGCAAGAGGGTCGGTGCTCTCCAGGCTTCAGCAAAAGCAACGCGAAGCCTCCAGAGCGCGGAGGGAGCGCTCCCTCTGTGCTTCAGAGGCTTCACGTTGCTATCGCTGAAGCCAAGGAGCCTGCATTCGCTCCATAGGACGCACACACATTTCCCCTTAATTTTTGGAGGGGAAAAAGTGCGTCCTATAGAGCAAAAAATACGGTAACTGCACAGAAGCAGTGCAATGGAAAGCAATGCTGACCATTCTACTGGGTGCCAAATAGCATCTATCTAAAGCATACCAGATAACGGGGAGTGAACTTTGGGATGGGTTGAGAGATCAAGTAATGCACTGTGAGCACCTTCCAGTGTTGCAGACACACTTACCCCCCGAATGGCTTCGAAGGATTGAGAGACACCTCCACTGTTCTACGTTTGCAAGTTTACTACTGGAGCCAAACACTGTGCTCGGCCCAATATACCTATGGAAGACGGGAACAAGAGTTACCAAAAGCAACCACACGGCAGAATTCCTTTCTGAACCACCACAACAGTTGAAATGAAATTTAGCAGACAAAAATCTCACCCCACATTCAGGGGAGACTTTTAATAGGGAGCCTGTATTTATTTAATTTCTTCATTTTATTCAAAAGCCTAACCACAATATTTTTTTTAAAAAAATCTCTAAGCAGTGTAGACTCTGTACGATAGAAAAAAAACATTCATTGGAACAAAAATACAAACCTAAAACAAACAAAACCAATATAAATACAGTCGTATCTCGGAAGTTGAACAGTATCTGTTCCGGCAGTCCGTTCAACTTCCAAAATGTTCGGAAACCAAGGCTTACTTACTTATCAAACCTTTATTAGGCATTGTGCAAATAAAACCATAAAAGAAGAAATAACATATAAAAGCCTTGAAATATATATAAAAGGCAGCAGTTGGCTACATACATATATATATATATACATATAAAATCAGTGGTTTTCCTTGTTAACCTGCTCCTTGGAGGACTGCTACCAAAAACTCGGCTACCCCCGCCGTTACCCTTTGGTCGACGTCGGATAGGCAGAATCCCACACATTCACCTTGCTGGGGTTCCAGACCACCCAAAAGAGGGGACAGCACGCGTTGACGTGGGATACTGTACAATGGGCAATGAAAGAGAATATGCTCTACAGTGTCCGGGACATTCATAGAACATCTGCAGAATCTCTTGTTTCTAGGAATGTTTTGATATCTTTTCCTTTACTAAAGGAAACCAAGGCATGGCTCTGATTGGCTGCAGGAAGCTCCTGCAGCCAATCGGAAGCCGCGGAACCTGCATCAGACATTCGGGTTCCAAAAGAACGTTCGCAAACCGGAACACTCACTTCCGGGTTTGTGACGTTCGGGAGCCAAAACGATCGACTCGCAAGGCGTTCAGCTTCAGAGGTACGACTGTAAAAGCAAGTAAAACTGGAATTCAGGGGATTAAGACACATAAGTCAGGGTGCAACCTCGTGGGTCAGGGAAAGCATGGGCAAAAAAATTTAGCTTTTTGTATTCTAGAAAGTGTTTACAGAACTCTGGAGATAAGAAACAGGGAATAATTCAACAAACGTTCAGAGAACAAGGAAAGATGTAAATTTGGGGCGGGCAGCACACTTACGCAGCTCTCTTCCAAATCATGATCAGCTTGTCGTCCCCCCCGGAAGCCAGATACATGCCATTGTTTGACCATCGTACACAGTTCACACATGCTAACATGGAAGAAACACACACAAACGGAAAGAAGGTGGATTTTTATATCGAGGCACGTCAGAATAGTTCACAGTATTTTTTATGGGTTCGCACCCTTTGCAATTCTCTCTGTATGCTTCTGATAATCGTAATGGCGTCTTTATCTTTCTGCAGTGTTCATGCACTGGATCTCAGCTGCAGAAACAGATTGTGTTTCTGTCCCACCTGTGGGAGGTGGGGGCTGCAGCCACCAAACAGTACGAGTGGAGGGGGAACTAACCATGAATGAAGAGGGAAGGAAATGCGATTGCCTACCATTTCAAACAATGCTTTTCTTCAGAGATGTTGTGCACCCAACAAAACAAGTATTTGAAATGTACTTATTGTTTGGAATTTTAGCTTTTTCCACCTGCAATGATCAAAACAGCTTACAAGCCGAGCAAAGCGGCATAATGTCACGTCTGTGAAACAGTAACCCAGGAAAGCAAAATAGAACGAAACGAAAACTCAGCGACATCAGAGGCGAAGACATATCAATGCACACAACAGCAGTATGCTTCGTTTGATAAGCGGGTATTAACTGCCAATGGCAAGATTCAATATGCTCAATGCTTCAGGTCCCCTCTACTGGAAAGACCCTGTCTTTTGTACCCACATACATGTTCTGGTGGTGGATAAAGGGCAAGGCCATGGATGTTGATCTCACAACTTGGGCAGGGTCATACTGGAGGAGGTGGTGTGTTTGAGCACCTAAATCTTTACAGCCTTCTGTTCTCCTTTAAAATGAATGGGTCACCTAGCAAATATTTCAGTGGCATAACTTAAGGTCCTTTAAAAAATGGTGCAACTGAGAATGGGTACCATCTGGCATTCTAGCACAACCCACTCATCCTTGGACATCAGAAAGGTATTTCTAAAAAGTGGAACAAGCGGGGGGGGGGGGACAGAGAGCATGCAAGAAGATGGGTCATTCCTTAACACCAAACCATGGCTTAGTGTAACATTCAAAGCAGTTTTCAAAGTCTACACTCCTCTGATATGCAATTAAGGCCCACGGTTCTCTACACCAGAACCGTGTAGTGTCCCTTGTGTTTGTTGGACTACAACTCCCATCATCCCTGGCCAGCTTAGCCAATTGTGAAAGATGATGGGAGTTGTAGTCCAACAACATCTGGGGACCCAACGTTGAAGAACACGACTCCATGCCATTCCTTGCACTTTACTGACCAACCAGCACC